GCTTACTCAGCCCAGGGTCTAGAACCACCCGAGGGCCTCACAGCCCACTCCTTACGGGGGGCGGCCACGTCAGCGGCCTATAGGGCTTTTCCCTCTCTGGAAGTGGTGTGTAAAGCAGCCACTTGGAAATCCGCACACTCATTTACCAGACATTATAGATACTTTGGCCTCGGCCGATGCGGCTTTTGGCAGAAGGGTCTTACAGCACGCCCTGTAGATGGGGAAGTGGATGGACCCGCCCTGGAGGATACTGCTGTCTTATGTCCCAGGAGTAAGGAGTCTGGAGGACTGCCCCACTCCTGGACCACCGGAGAACGGAAGATTTGTCTCCACTTACCGTGAAGCTTCCTTCTCGGTGGTCCAGAGTGGGGCAGTCCTACCCACCCGATTTTAGGGTTCGACTTCCTCCATCAGCAGGGGTGCTGTTGGCCACTGGCAGTTCTGTGCGGTGTAGGGTACATGGTGTTTTCCCACTTTTGGTTTGAGGGGATTACAGTTGCATGGCATACCTGAGAAATTTTTGTTCTTAGTACAGTTCTTGGGGGCATGTTTAACCCCCTGTTGGGGGTGAGTTGGTTGTTGCTTGTTCCTTTCAGTATAGGGGAACGGAGGCTTGGAGTATGACTGGGAAGCAGGAGCACAAGCCCCTCCCCTCCGTGACCAAAAGAGTCTGCCGGCCCTGCTTTACGGAGGAGAGGAGCTGTTACCCAGGAGTAAGGAGTCTGGAGGACTGCCCCACTCTGGACCACCGAGAAGGAAGCTTCACGGTAAGTGGAGACAAATCTTCCGCTCCCCCGCCCTCCTTGTACTGAAGATGCTGCAGATGGCCACAGAATGAGCTAAACGGTGTTTCATTTCTTTGCAGAACAACTGGGAGATGTGGGTTCTGGAAGACTCCAGCCGGGCAGAGCTTCCTGTAACGGACAAGAGCGATGACACCTTGCCCGTGGGCGTGGGCGTAGATTACACCAGCAACACACCCATAACCATTAGTAAGTTCTCCTGCTAAGCTACTAGTGGAGCTCTTTGGAGGGAGGTGTAGTGGTGAGCTGGACCACTGTCCTGTATGGAAGCATCATACACACCCCTCTCGTAGACTCCAACTCCTAAGAACATAAGAGACGCCAATGTTGGATCAGGCCAAAGGCCCATCCAGTCCAACACTCTGTGTCACACAGTGGCCAGAAATACCAGGGCCATCAGGCGGTCCACCAGTGGGGCCAGGACATTAGAAGCCCCAGAGCCCCTATCTATACCTTGTGGCTAATAGCCACTGATGGACCTGCTCCATACACTTATCTAATTCCCTTTTGAAGCCGTCCATGCTTGTAGCTGCCACCACATAAGAACATAAGAGAAGCCAATGTTGAATCAGGCCAAAGGCCCATCCAGTCCAACACTCTGTGTCACACAGTGGCCAGAAATACCAGGGCCATCAGGAGGTCCACCAGTGGGGCCAGGACACTAGAAGCCCTCCCACTGTTGACCCCCCTGCAGCTGTCCTCCTTACCATTCCAAGTGCCAGACAGGATTTTTCAGGACAACAATGAAAAAGAAATTGCTTAAGTCTGGGCTACACATGCAGCGAGATAAAGTGGTGGAATCCCGAAGTGGCAAAATGGTGTGAATCTTTTAAGTCTGTAGGTGACGGGTTTGTTTGTTTGTTTTAAATTTATTTATTTATTTATTTATATTTTCAATTTATACCCCGCTCACCCCCTAAGGGCTCTGAGCGGCTTACATGTAAATGTACCCTTACATTACAAGCGAGGATGCTGATGGGTTTCTTTGATGGCCTTGCAGGTGAGGAGAAGACCGTGGGCCCAGCTCCAGTCCTGCTGCTGCTCTCGACCGACGGTGTGCTGTGCCCTTTTTATATGGTCAATCAGAACCCTGGCGTGAGGTCGCTCATCGTGACACCGGAGCCTCTGCCCACAGAAGGGGACAGGACGCCAAAATTGCCAGGTAGGCACTGCCGTGTCCGTGCACGAGAACTGGCTCTACTTCTTCGTGGATCTTTTCCTTTACTTCATTTATACCCCACTTTTGGAGACCCAAACTTTCTCTCCTTCTCCATACCCTGTTTCCCCGAAAATAAGACCTACCCCAAAAATAAGCCCTAGCAGGATTTCTATGCATTTGTGGTATAAGCCCTGGTGTGTCTTCTTGAGAAAAATTAAATATAAGACAGTGTCTTATTTTCGGGGAAACACGGTATTACCCTCACAACAACCCTGTGAGGTGGGTTTAGGCTGAGAGTGTGTGACTGGCCCACAGTTACCCACCCAACTTGTATGGCAGAGTGGGGAGTCGAACCTGGATCTCCCAGATCCTAGTCCAGCACTCTAACCACTACACCGTGCTGGCTGGGTACTTAACAGCTAAGCATGATCCCTGGGCAGGTAACGGGTAGTAGGTAAAAGTCAACATTCCACCAAGGGTCTGCCTCAGGAAGCCTGAGTGGTTTTATCCTTGTTAGTAGTGGACTGTTGGTCCATTTAACTTGTCTCTTCTGATCGGCAGTGGTTCTCCAGGTCTCTGGCAAAAGGCGAGCTTTCCCAGCATCTTCTTTTCTGAAATTCTTTACCTGGAGGTGCTGGGAGTTGAACCTGGGACCACCTGCAGGGAGTCAGTGCTCAACCACCAAGCGTCATCCCCTTTCAGTATGAATGGCAAAGGGCGGAAGGGAATCCAAAGTACCTGGAATGAACTAAAGCAGTAACTTATGCCGTTATGGGAGGCGGAGCATATGATGCTTACCTTAATATTAGTCTCAATTACAGATCTTTATGTTTCCATCTTTTCACTGGTTTTCTGCAGATGTTGAATAGTAGTATATTTGATAGTATTATACTTGTTGGTAGTAGTATACTTGCCTGTATACATGAGTAGTATATTTTCTTGGCAGAGGTGGGGGCGCAGTAGAGTTCTGTAAGGTTATGGAGGGTGTCGGAAGGAGAAAGGAATGTTTCTCCCTCCCTCTCAGTCCTTGAGAAGGAGACATTTGACTGGCAGGACAGACAAAAGATGTGGTTCTGCTCTGCGCAAGGCCCAGTTAATTTGAGGGATTTGCTGCCCTGAGATGTGGCGACGGCTGCTGCCTTAGAAGGCTTGAATGAAGGATGTGCAAGTTCATGGAGGAAGTGGCTCGGTTGCCTTCTGATTGCCACGATAGCTGTGCGAAGCCTGCATGCCCAGGGGCAGTCATACCTCTGCATAGTCTGTCCTGCTTCTGGGCTTGGACTTCCCTGATGCCGGCTGCTCTTGGATGCCCAAGGAGAGAGCCAGTGCAGTGGGTAGAACAAGAAAAAAAGCCTCCCCCAGAAGTCTTTGTTCATCACATACTAGTAAATACGCAGCTTGGCAGCAGAAAAACAATCAAGCCGTTTAGTTTTTAAAATAATGTGTATGTGCACACATGCACCACCCCTTCCTATAAAAACCAGCTAAATAACCTTGCCAGCGGTGCCTATATCCGATTTTCCACACGTACCCTGGGTCATTATACTGTGCACGGGCTTGCGCAGTGTGATCTTTGTAAGTCCATTCAGAGAAGCTGTCATGTGGTATCTTCTTTTCTAATATGAAGAAGTATGCCCTGGGGCCACTTCTTTTTTCCCCATGTCTTTCAGCATCTGAATATTTCTGTTATGTTCTGTTTCGGGTCCCGATGCAGCAAGAGTTTTACAGAGGGCAGGTTAAAGATCAGTGACCATGTTACTGTCTCACAGCGAGGAGTTTATAATTTGTAAACCATTTCTGTAATTTTTTTAAGTTGGGTTTTTTTAAAAAGAATTATGGTTCCGAAAAACACAAAAGGGCAGAGGGTTTTTTTGCAAAAACGTTGGAAAAGCCAAAGGTTCTGTTGCAAGATGAGGCTTCCAGGCTTTTAATTTCTTGGAGTTGGTGGACTTCAGACTTCCTGTCCTCGCCCCTTCTGTTGCTAGCAGAGCAATAACAAACTGTGCAGATTTGCGTAATTTACAGAGGTCTTGGGATCTAGGTTACTTTGGTTGGTGTTGAATGTTGTTGGTTTTTTTAAAAACATGCACTAATTTTAAACATTTTTTTAAACATGCACATGAGGGCAGGGAGCTATTTTTTGTCAAAATATAAGGCCCCACATCTGGCAATGACACGGTGATTCCCGAATATATCCGGGATTTTTTTTTTTCTGGTTTCCCCGAAAAAAAGCAGATACCTTTGGGATTCCAAAATATGCCTGAAAAATACTGATAAGGTATTTTTTGGGTATATTTTTGGCTTGGGTAGATCCAGATGCACACCCCTAGTGGTGAGCATATTTAGGAGGACTGTGGAATTGTGCATTCTGCTTAAATTCACAAGCCACATAGTACACACTGACAAGTGTAGCATATGTATTCTGATTGGGCTAATGCTGAAATAAGCTAACAGTCGCATTTTTACATATTCCCCAAAATCATTCAGAGACTGAATGTTTGCAGGCAATGTGCAAGGTTCCCTGCCATGGCTTTGTTCATGCATATGCTCCATTCAGCTTGCATTTGAAGTGAGATAGCATAAGGTGTATATAGTACAGTGTATGAATGAAATAAATGCTTAAGTCCAGGCAATTTTGCATCAAGAAAAGAAGTTCTGACTTGTACGTCATACAGAGTGAGCAAATATCCATAATGCATCCTGCAGCATTTGGTGTTTTGCAGAATGTTATATTTGGTTTCCTGATTGTGCTGAGAAGCTAGAAAGGGCACTGAATCCCTGCCCTCAGCCAGTGGATGGGTTCAACTGCTTCGCTAGTTTCTGAGATTTCTCATTTTGAAGCACTTCTTTGCATCCATTGCAAACTGGGGCGGCGGCATGTTTTAAGCTGAGATTCTCAGGAAGCTAAATGTGCTTTATTCTGTGTCCCCCCCCCCCCTCGGGAATCATAGAGGCCTTAAATCCTGTCCCCAGTTTAGAGCTTTCCCATCAAAAATCTCGTGTGCATTTTTAAAAAAAAACGTGTGCTACTTTTTTGCCAGGGTATGGCATTCGAGGCAGGTTATAAAGTTCAGAAGAACAAAGCAAAAATGAAAAAAAGCATCACTTCAAAGAGGGGTAATGAGAAGTTGAATGGGGGAAAAGTGCTATCAAGTTGCAGCCGACTTATGGTGACTCTGTGCAGCTTTCAAGGCAAGAGACGTTCCAAGGTGGCTTGCCATTGCCTGCCTCTTGCACAGCCCTGGAGTTCCCTGGTGGTCTCCCGGCCAAGTACTAACCAGGGCTGTCCCTGTTTAACTTCCAAGATCTGACAAGATCAAGCTAGTTCAGGTCAGGACAATAAGCAATTTAAACCAACATACAAGACCCTGCAGACAGGAGGGGAAAAAACCCATTCCAGCTGTAGCATCAGTTAACTTTCAGAAAACATCAGTACGATTTGGGGTTTATGTGCCAAGTTTATCACACCGGCTAGGCCAAAAAAGGTGTTATGCATCACCTAAAACAGGACAGAGATGGTCCCAAGCCGACCTCTTGGGAGGGCATTCACGAATGAAGCTCATCCAGAGAGAGAGAGAGAGATCCTAGTGTCTAATATTTACTTGCCTAACCACTGATGGTGTGTATCCTTCCAAGTTGGACCTTTGACAGCTCAACTGGCAGGCATATTTGTGTGGGAAGAGGCAGGTCTTTGGGCTCCCTGGTCCCAAGGCCAGCACTTTGGATCTAGCGTCCCTTGAACGGCTTCATGGCCTGGCTAAATCAGATGCACACTTTGCTTCTTTGCCTATGGTTTCCTGTTGTATCTGATGCCACAGACTTCCTCTGCTTAACTGAGAGCCAGTTTGGTGTAGTGGTTAGGAGTGCGGACTCTAATCTGGGAGAACCGGGTTTGATTCCCCACTCCTCCACATTCAGCTGCTGGTGTGACCTTGGGTGAGTCACAGTTCTCTCAGAGCTGTCCGCTCAAGGGCACTTCTTGAAAGAGCTCTCTCATCTCCACCCACCTCACAGGGTGTCTTTGTTGGGGAGGGGAAGGTAAAGGAGATTGTAAGCTGCTCTGAGACTCCTTTGGGTAGTGAAGGGTGGGGTATAAATCCAATCTCTTCTTCTTCTTTTCTTAATCTTCAGTCTCTTGATACCCGATGTTGTTCTAACTGCATGTGCTCTGTTTGGATTCATGGTCCTGTCACCTTGTAATAACGTAAATTTGCCTCTCCTGTTCTCTCTCCTCCAGGAAGTACTGCTCCTTCATCGGCAACTCCTTTTTCCCCTTCCAAGGTCGAAACCGTCCCAGCAGGAGCTGTTGTCCTTACCCCAGCTCTGTCTTCGGTGACTGGCAGTGGGGTGCCCGCTTCCTCTTTTGTGTCCTCGGCTTTAAAACCAACCGGGCCAGCTCCTGCTGCCCCCCTGCAGTACGCCTTCCCATCAGAGGCCTCCAAGCCTGCCTCTTGTCCCAGCCTGAGTGGAGCCGCTGGGTTCTCCTTCTCATCTGCGTCCTCCACCAAAGCAGCCTCAAATCCACTCTCTTCAGCCAGCCTGGCTCCAGCCTCTGCCAGCTCTTTCTCTTTTGGCTCTGGGTCTTTTAAAACTGGTGCAGATGGCTCAACTGGGCCTCCGTCCTCTGCCTCCCCTGTTGGGCTGAAGCAAAGCTTTTGCTCTGCAGCTTCCTCCGTCAAGGTCAATCTCAGTGAGAAGTAAGTTTCCTTTTGAGCAACTGTGCCTTAAGTCTGCTCAGTGCAGCAGCTGAGCTTTTGATCAGGATGTTCAAATTTCCCCTGGTCTCAAATCACAGGGTAGTCTTAGACAAGCCATTCTGTCGCCTTCTGTCCTTGCAGTCTGCAGTAAGAACATAAGAGATGCCAATATTGGATCAGGCCAAAGGCCCATCCCGTCCAACACTCTGTGTCACACAGTGGCCAGAAATACCAGGTGCCATCAGGAGGTCCACCAGTGGGGCCAGGACATTAGAAGCCCTCCCACTGTTGACCCCCCCTAGCACCAAGAAGACATGGCATCACTTGCCCCAGAGCCCCTATCTATACCTTGTGGCTAATAGCCACTGATGGACTACACTCCGATACTGATCTACTCCAGGGGCTGTAAGGATTGCAAGAAAAGAATGCGCATGCAGGGTTCTGAACACTTGAAAGCACTGTGTAATGATTCCATGTTTTGGTGTGTGTGTTTGTGTGTGTCTTTAAATGTTGAGTATGACTGCAGTAATGTAAGGAGAGCGATGGGGGGAGATGAGTGTGCTGTGACTGGCTGATGACTGAGAGTGTGAAAAGAGAGATGTTTTTTATGACAGAGTTCTGTGTGTGTCTTGGGAGAGAGACAAGTGTGGAAGAGTTTGTAGAGAGTATGAGTGAAGTTTAGTCTGTCTGACTAAAAGAGTTTTGTGAGAGTCTGTTTGGTGTAGTGGTGAAGTGTGTGGACTCTAATCTGGGAGAACCGGGTTTGATTCCCCACTCCTCCACTTGCACCTGGCTGGATGACCTTGGGCAAGCCGTAGTTCTGACAAGAGCTGTCCTAGAAAAAGAGCAGTTTCTGTCAAGAGCTCTCTCAGCCCCACCTGCCTCCCAGGGTGTCTGTTGTGGGGAGGGGAAGGGGAAGGAGTTTGTAAGCCGCTCTGAGACTCCTTTGGGTAGTGAAGGGCGGGGGATAAATCCAATCTCTTCTTCTTCTCCCCTATATGGCCAAAGAAACAAGTTGTGTCTATCCTGTATGGTTAGACAAATGGTTTATTCTGTGTGAATAAGACGAACAGTTTTGCCAGTTATATTTACACGTTCTTTTTTTCCCAGTAACAGTTCAAAATAACCAGAAACCTATTTTGTTCTTTATTAAATAAATCAATTTTTATGTAAGCTTATCCCAGCAATCAGTACAGTCCTTCCTCAGGGCCACGTAGTCCTCTGAAGTGCCCAGGCCCTGGGTCATTCTACCAGCAGAGAGCGAGATTTGGAATTTGTAATTCCTGGTGGCAGCAGAAATCTTCCAAGTTTAGGTACACAAAGCGTGTTGGAAGGTAAAACCCGTCTCCCCTATAAGCAAGCACGCCACACGCTGTATCAGCATTAAGCGTTGGCCGTGATCGCAGCTTAAAACCCGGACAGCCTGCTCAGCTCTGCTCCTGGCAGTGGCCACGGGGGTCTTGAGAGGATGGAGGAGAATCCGAGATGGCAGCTGGCCGCTGTGTGTGGAGGAGCCTCAGTGGGAGGGAAGGCCCCCCACGTTGCTTTAAATGCTGCTTGGGTGAACTGTTATAAGCAAGAACTCTACAAGTATATTGTGATATTAACACTTATATTACTAACGTTTTTACTAACAGTGGAAAGATCTCCTCTTGGGGTTTTAGTGTAGTGTGGCTTGCTTTCCTTTCTCCTTAGTTGTAGTCCCTTCCCTAATATTTCTTTGTAGTTTTTTTGTAGTATTTGCAAAATAAAAAAAAATCCCTCCGGGGATTTAAAAAATAAATACATAAATAAATAAAGGCTGCTTGGGAGCTGCACCGGAGATCACCTCGGACACAGTCGTGGGATGGAAAAATCTTAAATCTTAGGGAGCTCCCCAGACCTCAAGAGCGACCTGTCTCGTTTGGGTTTCCCCCCCTTCCAGGTTCACAGCTGTGGAATCTTCCACACCCTCTGCCGGCAGCGGCCAAGGCTCCCCCATGTTCTCCTTCACCCCGAAGCTCGTCGGGCCCGTCAGCCAGTCCACCCCCCTCTCTGCCGCTCCTGCCTCTTCAGCCAAGGCTTCGCCTCCCACGTCTTCAGCAGGTACGGCCCCATCCCTCCACCTCTTTTCCTCTCCCTGTTTCCTCTCCTGTCGAAGCCGAGAATGGGATTTCCTCGAGGCCGAGTGTTGGATCCCTTTCTTCTTTTTAAAAATGGTGGTGGTGGTGAGGGACGTGCCGTCCAGTCACAGTCGGCTTACGGAGACCTGGTTGGGTTTTCAAGACCAGAGACGGTCAGAGGTGGTTTGCCATCGCCTGCCTCCGCGTTGTGACTCTGGACTTCCTCGGCGGTCTCCCATCCAAACGCTAGCCAGCAATGACCCTGCTTAGCTTCTGTGATCTGATGAGATCGGGCCATCCAGTTCAGGGCGTGCTTTAATGACCCTGCCTAAAATAACAACTATAGTTTACTTGGATGGAAGCGGCTATGTCTCCTTGGCCCCGGTCATAGGGGAAAGAACTTGCATGCGGTGGTCTTGAAACACTTCTTGGGGGGGGGGGAGATACCCACTGGCTCAGGCAGACTGTAATTAAGCGCCATGCACAGAAAGAAAGAAAGAAAGAGAAAGAAAGAAAGAAAGAAAGAAAGAAGACATTTTCTCCTTGTTCTGCAATGCTAAAACATGCGGCCGTCCAGTAAGGTTGATAAGCAGTAGAACCGTGGCAGAGAAAAGGAAGCCCTTCTTCAGGCAGTGGGTGATTAATCTGTGGCCCTCACTGCCACCGGCTGTCGCTAAGGCCGCCAGCTTGGATGGTTTTAAAAGGGGGTGAGAGGGAATCGTGGAGGATCGGTCCCATCAGTGGCTGTTGGCTGTTGCTGTCCTCCGACTTCCATGTCGGCTTGAGCCTCCGTGTTTCACAGTGAAAATAACCGCATGCTGGTTGATAGGGAAGGGGATCAGCACTTACCAGGGGAAACTAGACCCCTCGGAACTTGGGCCCTTGGCACAAGCGTCTTAAGTAAATTAAACTACATCCCATACTAGCTGCCTTCTGGTAAATTTTTTCCCTCCCACTGTTGCATTTAGTATGTGAGGGTTTGCACGTTAGGGTGTCTCTCTACCATGGGGCAGCTGAGTCCCCCCTGAAGCTTCTCTCATTCAAGAACCTCCAAGCCACGTGTAACAGTGTGACCGTTTCTTTTCCACACCAGCAGCACGTCCCGCTCAGGGTGCTTCGGCCGTTCCTGGGCTCCAGAAATCAGCCAAGATTTCTCCGTCTGTGTCAAAATCAAGCTCTTCACAGGTAAGGAGAACTTGTGCTGTCTGTCTCCTTGAGCGGGAACCCAAGTATGAGGCAAGGCTTTAAGAGAAGGCAGCTGTCGCTTCGTCCCCTGTTGTGACTCTGGGGTGAAAGCTGTCCTAGCTGGAATTCTTTGACCAGGAGTAGGCGCAGTGTCGTCTACCCGAACAGAGCCTATCTGAGCGGCTCCAAGGGTCTCTCCCCATCTCAATAGGGGTGGGGTATATACACTCTGAGGGATTCCATCTGCACTGAATTGCTCTCCCAGACTGTCCTATCAAGCTGAGGCTTTGTACCTCGCTACCCGAACAAATTGGCAACCGCGAGGCCCTTTGAGGGAGGGCACTTCTGACTCTCTGGGGTCTCATCCGTTGGCAAAGAAGGAACGTGGCAAGCCACCTGCCCTTTGATTGGCTGTGAGGTGGTCTCTTGAGTAAGTCTGGGTTCTTTGGTACTATTTCCCCCATCAGCTGCCAGGTCCTTTGCTTCTGGAGTGTCCACGCTGTCGACTGAGGTTTGGGCTACATGCCTCAGTCAGTGGGGTGTGTGACGGAGGGGTGGGGTTGGCTGGAACTGAAAAGCGACTGTGAGTGGAGTAGAGGGGAAATGCTGCTCACCTCGTTCCCATTCTGCTCACTCAGCGCCCCCCCCCCCAGCCTTTTTTTTCCCCCCAGGAAATTAAAGGGGCCCCCCCTCCCCCCCCCCCCCCCCCCCCGGAGGTGAAAGGGCTTTGAGCGGCCAGACTGCAAGAGGGGTTAAGCAGACCCTCCCCTCACTCCTGATCGCTGCCCTGCTGAAACTAGGGGAGAGAGAATCACACAACTAGTTCGTTGTTTACGGGGGATCGTGCCTTTTACTCCCCCCTGAACTGGCAGCGACATACAGAAGTGAAGTTGGAATGTGTCGGTGCGAATGCCTCATGAGCAGGTCCATTTCATAGAACAAAGTCTGAGTCCAGCGGCACCTTTAAGACCAACAAAGTTTAATTCTGAGTAGCTCATACCCAGAATTAAACTTTGGCTGCGGTCACACGGAGCATTAGGCACGCTAGAGAGACGGAAGATAGGCGGATTTTCCGGGCGCGATCTCACCGCCACATCTGGGAAGCGTAGAGGTCCCGTGGCTCACCCGAGGCTTCACTCCGAAGATGCGCTGTAAAAAAACTACTACCTCTGAGGTACTAGTTTCCGGAAACCGCGGGGTATGGGCGGGCGTCTGATCGCGTTTCCGGTGGTAGTTCCGGCGCCCGCCCATGTCCCCTCGCAAAAAGGTTTATTTCCCCCAAGTCTCCACGGATGCGCACACTTTAGTTTAAAAAACAACAACAACCCCGTTTGCCCCGTGGCCCCACTTCTTTGCAGTGCCGCAGGATTGTCCTGTGATCGGCACCTCCCCCCTAACCACGGGACCTCCATGGGACGTCTGCTTGCGCAACCGCACATTATTTTTCCCCGGGGCAAACAGCCACGCTCCCCCCCCCCCGGTTTTCCGGCCCATGTGACCGGAGCCTTTGTTGGTCTTAAACGTGCCGCTGGATTTTGTTCAGTTGCTTCAGCCCAGCACAGCTACCCACCTGAGTCTAGGTCCGTTTCATGTTCCGTTGTATTTTATTCTGTATTATTGAGCTTTAGTTTTATGGTGGGTGGATCTGGGCTTTTATTGTTGTTTGATGTTTTAATTGTATATTGTAAGCCACCTTGAGGCAGTGGGAACGGCAGGATATAAATGGGTTAATAAAATAATGCGTTGGTTGGATCAACGCTTTTGTAACTCATCCAGAGTTTGCTGTGACTGGCCTGGATCTTTGGGATAACCATCCATCAACGAGGAACTTCGCAGCCCCAGCTGTGCCCCCTTGCTGACGATCGGTGCTCATTCATGGGTCACTGTTGGTTGCATCATGCAATACTCCCTCTAAGCTGTGAAGTCTTGTGAGGAAAAATTCTACCTTGTGAGCTACTGGCATTAAAGTTGTGAGCGAGCGGTTTGGCTCCTGCATAAATTAGTCTGCTCTGGAGCCATCCTCCCAGAGCGAAGGCAAAAATGTGTGAGCCGGAGGCTAAAAAACTGTGAGCTGGCTCACACTAACTCAGCTTAGAGGGAACACTGTAAAATGTGAGAATCCACCCAGTCCGCAACCTGATATTATTTTGCATCAGGACTTTAAACAATGAGTTTGGAGGCCAAATGCAGGTCTGTTGGTTGGTTAAAACGTTTGCATCCTGCCTTTCTACATGGTTCAAGGCAGCTTACAATAACAGTTAAAAATGTTTTGAGATAAAACCAAAAAGCAAAATAGCAGACCCTCGACCCCAAGAGGATACATCCAGAATTCTCCACCGTGAAAATGCCAATTCAGTGTCAGTTGCCTGAGCAGCCAGTTCCCCCAGTCTCCTCTTCCTGATGACCACCACCAGCCTCCCTTTTGTGCTGTTTTGCCCATGAGCCTGACGGAAATATGTGGAGTATCTTGGAGGTGCTGTAGGCTGAGTGTTGGAGACCTCCAGAGGGCTGACTCTCTGTGTCCCTAAATGCAAATCCAGCCCTCTCCCTCTCTGCCAGTGTTTGCTGTTTCTGCTCATTTCAACCTCTGTTTTTTACCTCTTTAGAAAAAGAAGGAGAGATGGGATCCATACCCGGCCCTTCCCTTGAAGTCTCAAAGCAGCTTACAGACTCCTTTCCCCTCCCCTTTACCATGTATACAAATCAGTGGCTGCCTCGAGACACTCTGTGTCTCGATCCTTTCAAACAAACAATGAGTTGCCATCTGGGATGTCCCCAGTTTCTCTCACAGGGGCAGGGGTCATTTCGTAGATAAAGAGCTAGGGGAACTCATTAGCATAACTCATTAGCATATGCCACACCCCCTGACATCACCGGAAGTGTGTCATAAGGCCACACCCCCTGACATCACCAGAAGTGTGTCATAAGGCCACACACCCCGCCCCCAACGGTCCCGGTCGCCGGTGGCGGCCTTGCAGCTCCACTGTCGAGCCCCATGAGGGGCCTGGCGGTGGACCTGCAAGGCCGGTGGGAGTGCAAGGAAGCCCCGCGAAGGCCCTCCCTGGTCCCAGGCAGGCAGGGGTGGGGAGAAGCAGGGAGGAAGCAACTTACCCTCCCTCTTCTCCTGCCTCCTCCTGGCTGAATGAGGGCCGGAAGTGGGGCGGCCGGAAACAGGGGGCGGGGCTTCATCATGTGCCCCCCCCGTACCTCACCCGGGGGAACTGTGATCCCCCGCGATCCCCCCCCCCGAAATGACCTCTGCACAGGGGTAAACTACCTGTTAACGTTCAGTGAAAAAATGTCACCCATAGCTTGACCCTAGGTGGCCTTGGGCGGGCCTCTCACTTAGCCTTGACCTTCTCCTGCAATGTGGGGATAGTAACACTAGCTTATTTTGCGGGTCGGCTGTAAGAAATGCACGTGCCATGCTTTGACAATGCCTAGTGTTGTTACCGCGACCATCTGGAGAGAGTTTCTCCTGCATTTTTACGTTATGTATTGCAGGGCCGCTCAACAGCTAGCAGTACCGGGATGGAGAAGCAAGTTCATCAGTGGAAGGATTCGGATCCCGTCATTGCAGGGATAAGGGAAGAGGTGAGGCTTCCCTGTGGGGGGGGAGGCTGCTGTTTGTTTGCTTGCCAGCTTCTCATCCTTTTTGGAACTCCTGTATGCTTAATCTCTTGAGGAGGTTCACACGAGGTCCTGTTTCTGGATTTAGCACCCCATGCACAGACTTTCGTGCTTCAAGTTGTTCACTGGTGGTTGAACAATAGTTGTTAATGGCCTCTGTCTGTCCAGACTTTGCCCGCCCACTGAGGAGGTGGCTCGTTGCCTCTCAGATTGTTTTCCTGCTCTGATCTTGCCTTTATTTATGTGAGGCTTTAGAATATTCTCCACCTCAGTTCTCATAGCAGGAAACAGTTAATATTAAAGTAAATATACACCTTAAAACATCCAAAGAAAGGTACAAACTAAACTGACAGCATTATCTTTACAATTGTGGGGGGGGTTTGCCGATTATAGAGACAGCTCATCAAGTCGGAGAGGTAAGGCTTGCTTCAGAAGAGTCTTAATCGCCCATCTAACTGATCTGAGGTCTCAGGTCTGGTGAATTTCCTTTCGAATCTAGGTTGTTGTTGGGTCGGGAATGAGATCCTGCAATGTGCGCAATTGTATCATTTGTCTGACTACAGCGCAAAGATGCAGAAGAATCAGAAGGGGTTGCATGTTGCATCTCTGCATGTATCCCTGTTCTGGGCTGAGAAAACATACAGAAACACATTGGGGTCAAGCTTTCCAGAGGGTGGATAATAAAGCACTTTTATACTCTGGGAGCAGGGAACTTAAAGGATCATCTCTTCCCCTTTCAGTTAAGATCTTACATCGAAGCCCTCCTTAATGTGCCCCAAGCTTCAGAGGTTTAAGGTGGGTGGCTGTCAGAAGCAGGGTCTTCTCACTGGTGGCACCGCATTTTTGGAACTCCCTCAAAGTGGCTCACTTGAATAACTTGAGAAACCGGGTGAAGACCTTTTAATTCACTCAGGCTTTTGGTTGATTTTTCAAAAGGGATTTTTAACATATAATGGTTTTAATGTTTAAATTAATATTTTGAAGGTTTTAATGCAGGGGTGCCCAACATTGTGCCCGTGGGCACCATGGTGCCCACAAACACCTTTTCTGGTGCCCACCGAGTGTTTTTAGAAAGTGAGTTGGGCCGTATGGGCTCTTGCCCCGCAGGGCTCCTGATTGGCCGTTCGAGATCTGATTGGCTGTGTTGATTAAAGCAATGTTGTTTCAGTAGCAGCCATCACCCCAGTATTGGTTTTGTTCTCTCTCGCTCCTTTTCCCCAGTGTATTTTTAAAATTGCCCTTCTCCCCTACACTTAGGGTGCCTCCGTGTGCGTGGCTGCGCTTCCTGGTGCAGCCGTTTTATGGTTGCGCCCACAACCCAATGTCAGAATTCCAAAGGTGCTGCTGGGCTCAAAAAGGTTGAGGATCCCTGTTCTGATGTGTTAACACAGACTCTTTTAGCGAGCCACATTGGAAGCGTGCACCTGAGAGCAGGTGGAGTTACAAATGTTGAACAAGTCTTTAAATTTTTTTTCTGTGACACAAGAGTCCCGTATACCTCTGCTTTTAATTCAGGTGAAAGGTATGTCTTAGCTGTCAAAAAGGTGAGGAGACTGGTTGCTGCGTGTGTATTTATTTAGAAGTGTATCGATACGTCGTCCATTGTGTAGAGACATTTCTGAACTCTTGTGGCCTGGGCCACCTCTTCAGTGTCAATGAGCAAGGTGTGCCTCCCGCACAGATAGCACATTTCCAGAAGGAGATGGAAGAACTGAAAAGCAGGACCGCCAAAGCCTCTTTCCAGGTGGGCTCTGACGAGGAGAAGAAGATGCTGAAGACGGACTCAAACGACCTCCACACCTTCATCTTGGAGATCAAGGAGACCACGGAGGTAAGAAGGGCTTTTGGGTGAGACCCTGCCTCCCGTCTCCGGGCAGGCAGCAGCCAAGTTGTCATTTAGGGCTGACAGCGGATTGCTTGGGAGGTCACCATGGCTCCAGTGCCGCTCTCCCACCTGTGCTTAACGTAGCTGGCGGCAGCAGAGAGGATTTACGATCCATAAAAGCAGGGGGAGGTGCATTATAAAATAACTAGAAATGATCTCAGCCCCTCCAAAGTGGGAATCTCCCACGTCAGCTTGGGCCAGAATGGGTTTTAGCTAGCCTGGGACTGCCGCTGCCGGAGGTTCCACCATCACTCCTGGAAGACTACCTATTCTCTGACCCGCCACTTGAAGCTGGTTTGCCTCAGAAACAAGAGATGAGATACTGGGCAGCTTCTCGTTGCTTTAAGACAAGCCCACCCCCCTCTGTAAACTCAGAAACATTCTTTTTTTTTTAACTGTTAAAGAATTTTATTATAGTTATCAACATATAATAGAGTCAAGGGAATGATAGTTACGTGTACATCAAAAACTAAAGTACAAAAGGGGGCGGCAGCCCCCAAACGAGAATACCAATTAAGGTTTAGAAAAGACAAAACAAAATGAAGGCTGAAGAACTCTGAATGGTGCCTTAAAGCCTTTTTTATTGTTAATGATGCTCTTATGATTTTCTTTAAACTTTAATGGTTTTAAAGATAAATAATATAGCTCGATCGACTAAGTTCAGTGTAATCATAGCATTTTAGACTAACATAAGCTGGTGTAATGATCTCCTATACTTGGGTTTTTAGTTTGCTTTTCTTTCCTTTCTCCCATAGATGTAGTTTCCCTCTCCCTTTTTTCTGTTGTAGTTTATAGAAAAATCCAATAAAAAATCCCCTCCGGGGGCTTGTAAAAAAACAAACTAAAGTACAAAACAAGCATGCTGGTGGATTCCTCCAGTCTCGGGTTCTTTAAGTTGTCAGCTATACATTTGCATTGTACACAGTTGCAAATATTTGCAGATTTACAGTCGCATTGCAACCATCGCCATATTTGCCATTCTCTGACCTTGCTTGGAATCTCTCCTCGATTTACCAAGTATTCCAGTATAGGAAACCAGATTGCGATAAAGTTTGAGGAGGAAGTTAGATGATCAAAATGAGACAGATTAACTGTTGTTTTTGCCGTAATGTAATGACCCCAGATCTTTCTATGCCATATTGTTAGGTATGGTACCAGAACTCAGAAACATTCTAAGATCACACGGCCTGAGTGCACTCGGCTTGTTGTAGGAGCATATGAAACACAAAGGGGCACTTGTGGAAGTGCGCGTCTGATTTAGCCGTGCCACGAAGCTGCGAAGTGGGCGGAAGCAGCTGACCCCTGAAAATCTCGCTGAACTCCTCCCAGGCTTTGGATACTTCCCTAGAGGTTGCCCACTCTATCTTTGCAACCAAAACACAAAAAACCGAAACCCAAGATTCCCGGAATGCTGAATTCTGTGTGTGTTTGTGATTCCGCTGCCCCGTACTTGCAAGGAGCAATGTGATGCACACAGCCCCATAGTAAGCCTGCGCACTGGCAGTGGTTTTCCTGACATAACAGAAATCGCTGTCTGTTGCATCATGTCGCTGCACGCTAGCAATGGTGTGTTAATATTTGGCAGCTTAATGTTTTCAGTGGGAAGCGACGTATGTTTTGGCAGCACAGGTACTCATCATCTTTGGGGGGGGGTGTCTCCCTCCCCTTTCACTTTTGCACGTAGTCCCTTCATGGAGACATCAGCCTCCTGAAGACGAGCCTCCTGGAGGGCTTTGCAGGTCTGGAGGAGGCAAGAGAGAAAGACGAGCGAACCCACAACTCCGAGTACTTGCATCTGCTGTATAAGAAGCCGCTGGATCCAAAGAGCGAAGCCCAGCTTCAGGTATGAACATGCCAGCCTTGACTTCTGAGATTGTAACGGAGCGCCTGCTTGGTGTGCAGAAGTCCCAAGTTCAGTACAGTTAAAAAGGATCTTAAGGAACAGGGTCGAGGAAGAGCAGGGCCTGAGACCTCGCAGAACTGCTCCTGTCCTGAGCAGACAGGAGTGGTCGGAATGTCCCGGTGGGCTGATTGGCTGTGTTCGTGATGACGTGTGCCTCTAGAGGGGCAGGGAAGCGAGGAGATCAAATCAGTCAATCCTAAAAGAAATCAACCCTAACTGTTCCCCGGAAGGCCAGGTACTGAAGCCAATTTGGTGTAGTGGTTAAGTGCACGGACTCTAATCTGGGAGAACCGGGTTTGATTCCCCCTTCCTCCACTTGCAGCTGTTGGATGACCTTGGGCAAGCCATGGTTCTGTCAGAGCTGTTCTCTCAAGGACAGTTCTCTCAGAGCTCTCTCAGCCCCACCTATCTCACAGGGTGTCTGTTGTGGGGAGGGGAAGGGAAAAGAGATTGTAAGTCGCTCTGAGACTCCCAAGTGAAGGGCAGCGTATAAATCCAATCTCCTCCTCCTCCTTCTGAATACTTTGGCCACCCAATGAGAAGGGAGCACTCACTGGAGAAGACCCTGATGCTGGGAAAGATTGAAGGTCAAAGAAGAAGGGGACGGCAAAGGGTGAGATGGTTAGACAGTGTCATAGATGCAACGAACATGAAGTTGAGCAAACTTCAGAGGATGGCGGAAGACCGGAGGGCCTGGTGTGATGTAGTCCAGGGGGTCGCGAAGAGTCGGACTCGACTGTGCGACTGAACAATAACAACAAGTTGGTAGCGACTTGATGGTCCTCAATTATTATTGTTGTTTAAGGATAAATAGAGATCTGAAAGCTTGCAGCAGAAGAAATTCCAGGTCAATCTGCTGCCTAATTTTATGTAAATCAGACACATTTGTCTGCATTAATCAACTTGCAGGCTTTGTCTTGGAGTTAAGATCATCAGAAGAGTCCTGCTGGATTAGACTAATGGTCCCTGTAGTCCAGCATTCTGTCTCACACAGAGACCAACCAGTTTCTCTGGAGTGCCAACAACAGGGCATAGCGGCTGAAGCCTTCCCCTGACATTGCTCCTGGCTCTGGGATTCAGAGGATTAGTGCCTCTGAATGTGGAGATTCCCCTCAGTCACCAGGGCTAGTAGCCACTGGTAGACGTATCCTCCACGACTCTATCTAATCGCCCCTTAATGCTGTTAATCCCTGTGGCCACCACTACATCCTCTGGCAGCGAATCCCACATTTTAATCACTTTCCGTGTAAAGCAGTAGTTCCTTTTGCCCCTCCTGAACCTGAAGCTTTGGGGGCAGAATATTTTCCCCATTGCGTCCTGTCCTGGTGAGGCCCATATTGCAATGCAAAGGAAAACTTGGTGGTCGAGCCCCAGAAATCAGTCCGCAGCTCATGTCAGCAGCAGATGGTTGGAGGAAGGGAGTCTTTCCAATGCGGAGCACAGTGAGGGCCGGGCTGCAGCTGACTGAGTTCTATCCCTGCAGGTCTGGCCAGCAGCTTCTCTTGTGTGGATGGAGGAGTCGTCCTCTCTAGCTGCCTGCTGTCTTCCGTAAGCAGCAGAGGCTGTGTTCTGCTTCACCCTGGGGGTGGTCACATGCAGGCATTTTTAATGTTGCCTGTGTGGAGGTGCGTTCAGAGATGTGAGCCCCACCTGCGGTCCACAGCAGTGATATCCCGATAGAGGCCCTCAGTGACGTGGGCATGGGCGTGAGCCGCTTCTCTCCCTCCCTCCCTCTTTTAGGAACGCTGGCAGAGGCCACAGTGAAGTTCGTCCTTTAAGCATCTTGGATGTGCCTTGGCTTGTGCAGGGGCTAGAATCCAGGATGCCCAGAGCATCTGTTGCTGCTCCAGCCATGGGTGTTCCTAAGTCTTAGCACTGTGGTTGCACCAGTTTGAGCCAGAGGCTGTGGGATATGATTCCACTGAGCCATTGCTTCATCCGGTGTAGCAGACACAGTATCAGACTTAAGCCAAGGAGATCTCGCGTGAAATCCCCACGTAGTTGTCAAGCTTGGTGCTCTTGGCCCAGCTTAGCCCTCTACCTTGCAGGATTGTTGTGAAGGTTAAGAAGAAGAAGAAGAAGAGATTGGATTTATACCCCGCCCTTCACTTGGAGTCTCAGAGCGGCTTACAAACTCCTTTCCCTCCCCCTCCCCACCACAGACACCCTGTGAGGTGGGTGGGGCTGAGAGAACTCTGACACAAACTGCTCTTTTTCAAGGACAGCTGTGCCAGAGCTTGTGACTGACCCAAGGTCACATCAGCAGGTGCAAGTGGAGGAGTGGGGAATCAAACCCAGTTCTCCCAGATTAGAGTCCGCACACTTAACCACTACACCAAACTGGCTCTCAGAAATCATGCCAAAGATTTGGCATCAAAAATCTTTAAAACTGAGTAGCCCCCTATGCACTGCCTCGTGAAGAGGGCGGGATACTAGTGTGGTAGCTTTTACCCATCAGTTGAAATGAGTAGCTAAGTAGGGCCCCCGATATTTACAGGGGGGTGGGAGAATGTGTTGACTTGGGTCTGGCGGAGGCCCGCCCAGCCCAGATTTTAATGAAGCCCGGACACGGTCCCTAAAGAGCACAGCGAGGAGATATCTTTGGGAATGGGGCCTGAACCGAAAGCCGCAGGTCAGAGGGGGGCCTCTGGGTAACCAGTTGCTTGCCTGTATTCTGCAGTGAATAAGGCCACCGGTCCAGGCCCACAGCAGCTGTTCTGCCCAGGGTCCAGGAGAACACTTCCCGCGCCTCCTCTCAGCCAGTTTCATCTGCTTGCATTATTTTTCTATTAATGTCCTTTTTTTTAACTGGGGGAGGGCAGGGATCTTTTAGGAAGTGTCGGTTTAATGTCTTGTTAAGTTAATGAAAGAAATTGTTCATTCGGAGATTGCTTTGCCTCCGGCAAGCGCTTTCCCCCGTTCAGTGCGATGATTTATAACGACTTGTGCTATTGCAGTCAATTTCACGGATGGTGAGGCTGGAAACCGAATGGGCTTGTAAGTGCCGGGCGGCAGCGGGAAGTTCTTGCAAGCGTGTCAAAAAGATTTTTGGCATGAGATGGGGAAACGTGGGGCAAGGGGAGGGGCATGTTTCTTCTCCCCCCTCCCCCGGGGTGGTGGTTTTAAAGTCAAACAAGTTCCTTCTCCCCTGTCACGCTGAAGTGTGAAATACTAGCTTGAGCCACAGCGCTCCTATGTAATTGACCTGTCTTGCCCGGAGGAGTCCAAATTGGATGCACAAGGATAATGTGGAATGTGCTCATAAATAAAACCGAGCTTGAGATGGCTCAAAATGATCCCTCCTGAGCAGCCAATCCCTCTTCTGTACAAGTCTGTGGCCTGTGGTGAGCTAGCTAGCTGGCTAATTTTTTCACCCGTTTCAAAAGGTTGCTTCATATTCAGGCCCTAAAAGATGGTCTTCACATTCAGCAAAATTGCCTGGTAGATGCCTTCTGGGACTGCAAGCAACCCCTTCTGGGTGTATGTGTCTAAGTTTGTGTTTTTGCAGGGTCCTACACGTACATATTACCCTGCATGAAGAAAACTGGCACACACGAAAGGGCTAAGCTTGGTTAGAACCTTTTCTACCATTAAGCTAGCTTTCTCTATGTACTGATTCAGGTGGGTAGCCACGTTGGTCTGAAGCAGCAGAACGAAGTTTGAGTCCAGTGGCACCTTTAAGACCAACAAAGTTTTATTCAAGGTATAGGCTTTTGTGTATGCACTGGAATAAAACTTTGTTGGCCTTAAAGGTGCCACTGAACTCAGACTTTGTTCTGTATGTACTGAGTCTCCCTTTCGCAGGAGATCCTTAAACACTGTCATTCACCCTTCTGTTCAGGGGTCATTCGGGGCCGGAGCAAGCCGGAGCAGCGCTCCGGCAGCCAAGGAGCGGGCACAAATGGCAGTGGCGGCAAGCCCCGCCCCCAGCTCCCCACCCCCAAGCTCCTTCTCTCTAGAGTCGCACTGCAGCAGTGGCGCGATCTTTCCATTGTATTCTATGGCCCCATAGAATACAAGAGAGAAGGGGTTTACACTTTAAACCCCTTCTCTCTTCGCCCCACCCCCTGCCCGCCTTGGCAGGCTGGCTGGGGAAGGGAATGGGAGGCTTTTGAAGATGCCTCCCCCCCCCTTTTTTCTTTCCCCATCTGATACCACTTCCAGTGATGTCAGGGGGCGTGGCATATGCTAATGAGCTATTATGCTAATAACCTATTAGGTATGCTAATGAGCTCCTGCGCCTCATTTTCTACGAAATGACCCCTGCTTCTGTTACACTCTGAAGTGTCACGGAGTGGGAAGGACTTCATTTGGATTTAACTGATTGCCCTATTCAGAATCTGGAACAACCCCCCCCCCCGGTCAGGCTGCTGGACTAGTGATCCAAGAGAAGAACAGAACAGATTGGATTTATACCCTGCCCTTCACTACCCAAAGGAGTCTCAGAGCAGCTTACAATCCCTTTCCCTTCCCCACAGCAGACACCCTGTGAGGTAGGTGGGGCTGAGAGAGCTCTTTCCAGGACTGCTCTGAAAGAACTTGTAACTGACCCAAGGTCACACCAGCAGCTGCATGTGGAGGAGTGGGGAATCAAACCCTGTTCTCCCAGATTAGAGTCCGTGCTCTTAATCACTACACCAAACTGGCTCTATTAACCCTATGGCCTGCAACTTGGATTTCATTTCCTTGAGTACTATCTCAAAACAGATAAAAGAGAGTTTTTCACATAACACATAAATAACTTGTAGAATTCACTGGTAAGTTGTGTACTTCAGGCCCATAGCTATGGTGGGGCTTTTGGGGCTCTTGCCCCCTTTCTTAAAGGCACAGCCCCACAAGAATTTCTCCTGTAAATGCCTTTTTCAATCATTTTAAAACATTTTTTAAAAGGTGTGCGCTCCTTTGAGCAGAGTGGGGTGCTGTAGTTGACTAATTACCACACTGAGCAAGGGGTTGGAGTAGGTGACCTCTAGGATCCCTTCTAACTCTGTGTCAAGAGTTTTTCTGCCTGTTAGCTTTCTTGACTATAGAAATCACCCCCACCTGCTGGCTTGTTATCAGAACTGTTGCTTAGACTGGCAGACGTGATTAACTTGCAGCAGCTGAGAACTGTCATCTAAAGCGGTTGACAGCTTGCAATTTAGAGCTCTATCCTGGTAACAGCTTTCTATTGGCTAAATGGCTTTTCTTTCTGCACTGAGTGCCCCACAAGCCACAAAATCCTGGCTATGAGCCTCGTGCACTTGATGCCCACTAGCAAAGGAGAATTTAAAAGTGGATTAGACAAATGCATAGATGATGGATCTGTTAGTGGCTGTTATGAATAACTGGAATCTCCGTATTCAGGGATAATGTATTTCCGGGTGCCAACTGCTGTGGGGTGGGGGGACAGCTGGAAGATTCTTTATGCCCTTTCTTGTAGGTCTTTTGGGGCATCTGGTTGGCCACTGTGGGACACACGACAGAGGTCTAGAGGAACTGCAGATGTGATCCTGCCAAGTTCTTCTCACATTCTTATGAGTCATCTGAAGCAGCCAGTTTGGTGTAGTGGTTAAGTGTGCGGACTCTAATCTGGAAGAACTGGGTTTGATTCCCCACTCCTCCTCCACTTGCAGCTGCTGGAGTGATCTTGGGTCACTTACAAATTCTCTCAGAGCTGTTCTCTCATGAGCAGTCCTGGAAAGAGCTCTCTCAGCCCCACCTACCTCACAGGGTGCCTGTTGTGGGGAGGGGAAGGGAAAGGAGTTTGTGAGCCGCTCTGAGACACCTTTGGGTAGTGAAGGGTGGGGTATAAATCCAATCTCTTAATGGCACTTGGTTATTGTATATTTGGTACAAAAATACTCTGCGCTTTTGCAGTGAAGCATGTTGCGTTCTGCCTGCATTCTCTCCCCCCCCCCCACCCAAAGTGCTGATTGTGGTAAGCTGCAGTTGTCATCTAAATCCTCCTTTTCAGGTGGCAGCCTCTGAGTCAGGAACTGCTACCTGGCCACCGCACTGCACCTCTGGTGGTTCAGAAGTTCAGCTAGCGGAGTAGCCTTCTCCTATCCCAGAAGCTCCAGCCCACTATTGGCTGGAGAGCAGACTAGGGTTCTTTGAAACAGTTCTGTGAGTCCGAGGGGCTGTTCCCTAAAAGGAGGAACTTGCCATGGCTCAGATTCTCTTATTTTGAGAAATCAAGGTCTAGGCAAACTTGACAGCTGTCCCTTTCAGATGCTGGTCTGCAAAGGCATGGCTTGGGAGCAGGGTATCTGAAGGACCATCTTCTCCCGTATGTCCCTGCTTGGGAATAAAGGTCACAGGGAGAGGCCCTCTTGACTGTCCCATCCAAGAAACTCATCTGGCGGGTACACAGGAGAGGGCCTTTTCAGTGGCAGCCCCACAATTACGGAACAAACTTCCAGGGAAGGACGCCCGGCCCCCTCACTTTCAGCCTTTAGGATGCAGCTCAAGATGGTTTTATTTAGGACTGCATTTGATTAAAGTAAGGCGCTGCGGTGGCTCAGTGGTTAAGATGCTGAACTGCAGGCTGGAAGGTCAGTAGTTCAGCAGTTCGAGACCTGGGTGCCGCATGACAGAGTGAGCTCCCGTCTCTGGCCCCAGTTCCTGCCAACCTAGCAGATCGAAAGCAAGAAATTGCAAGTAGATAAATAGGTACCGCTCCGGTGGGAAGGTAACAGCATTCCGTGCGCCTTGGTGTTTAGTCATGGTGGCCACATGACCACGGAAACGTCTTCGGACAGCGCTGGCTCTTCGGCTTTGAAACGGAGATGAGCACCGCAACCCTAGCGTCGGATTCGACTGGCTTTCGAGCAAGGGAAACCTTTGCCTTGATTAAAGTAGCCCTAGGTTTTGGTTTTGAATTTTGCTTTCGTGGAAGCAGCACGTGTTTGCCGGAGGAGCCGTGCTCTCGCTCAGCGAGTCCAGCACCCAGCGGATCGCTGCCACTGCAGTCTGCCGAGTACTGTAGCCATAGGATCGAGGGGCTCCTTAAAAGGCAGCCAGATGTTCAGTGGAGATGTCCAGGTTTTAGGGCCTACCAGCCCTGGGGTTCTAGTGGTCCTCCTTTGAGCAGCAGATATTTCCAAGCAGCACAGCTAAATCCCTGGATATGGTTGGAAGGTACACGATGCGGCCCCCGCGCTGATGCTAAGCCGGCCTGGATCAAATCTGGTCCGCATCACATGAACACAAAACACCTCCTGAAGGTTAGTCTTCACAGTCTTTCCCAGCAACAGCCCCGAGCTGGCCAGGTCAACTTCTCTGGGTAGGGAGACCTAGAAGTGAGATGCTTCTACCACCAAGAAGCCCTGGGCCTGGACCACCACCCTTGCTGGAGCTGCCTCGGCCGATCTGTTCTGAACCGAGACGTTTGAACTTAATTGTGAGTATCCCGAATTGGGTCAGAAAGGTGACTTTTTTGATTTCTTTCTGGGGCAGGAAATTCGACGCTTGCATCAGTACGTGAAGTTTGCTGTTCAGGATGTGAACGATGTTCTGGATTTGGAATGGGACCGGCATCTGGAACAGCAAAAACAGCAAAGGTGAGTGATCTACGGTGCCATTCTAAGCAAGAGTCACACCCTTCTGTGTTAATTGAACACTGGCCCCGAACAGTGTGACTCTTTTTAGGATGGCACTGTTAATCTTGGGGATGTGTTTCGAAGGAAAGGTGGGACTGAAGGTAAGCTGAAGTCATTTTGTGCCTGTGCCCACCATGGGAGAGCGACCCCTGGTTTAGCTACTGTGATTAATAACGGTTGGCAGACCTCCATTCAGTGAGCAGAGGGTTGTAGGGACAAACTCCGCAGCCTTCTTGTTTATTGCTTTTTGCCGGACTCTAATAGTTAAAGCCGTTTCATAGTTTTCTGTGTGAATGATCTTGCTGTTAGGGCCTTGAGGAATCGCCTGGGGGCAGTGAGGACATCCAGTCCTCTGAAGTATCTCTCCCTAAACTCTCAGGGCCTAAAGGAGGCTGATTTCTCCCCTCCCCAGTGTTCCCCCCCCCTCTTGTTTGCAGCTAAAAGTCAGCACTCAGTTTCTTCCGAAGCTTGCTCAGTCCTCCTCAAACCAAACTTGTGGGCACTCAATCAAATTAATGAGCAGTAAGCGTAGAGCGGAGCTGCGGTGGCTCAAGTGGTTAAGACGCTGAACTGCAGGCTGCGGAAGGTCAGTAGTTCAGCGGTTCAAGACCCGGGTGCCGCAAGTCAGGGTGAGCTCCTGTCTCTAGTTCCAGTTCCTGCCAACCTAGCAGTTCGAAAGCAAGAAATTGCAAGTAGATAAATAGGTACCACTTCGGTGAGAAGGTAACAGCGTTCCGTGCACCTTGGTGTTTAGTCATGCCGGCCACATGACCACGGAAACGTCTTCGGACAGCGCTGGCTCTTCGGCTTTGAAACGGAGATGAGCACCGCAACCCTAGAGTCGGATTTGACTGGCTTTCGAGCAAGGGAACCTTTACCTTTACCTTTAAGCGTAGAACAGATAAAAAGAATAGATACTCTTCGCCCAAAGAGTAATTTAAGACATGGACTTCACTGCCACAAGAAGTGGTGGCGGCTACAAGCACAGACAGCTTCAAGAAGGGATTGGGTAAACATATGGAGCAGAGGTCCATCAGCGGCTATTAGCCGCAAGATGTGGATGGAACACTCTGTCTGGGGCAGTGAGGCTCTGTATTCTTGGTGCTTGGGGGGCAACAGTGGGAGGGCTTCTGGAGTTCTGTCCCCGCTGGTGGACCTCCTGATGGCACCTGGGTTTTGGCCACTGTGTGACACAGAGTGTTGGACTGGATGGGCCATTGGCCTGATCCAGCATAGCTTCTCTTATGTTCTTATGTTCATAGTTTGAGTTTTCTCAGGGGAAGGGGATCACTTATAAAGTCGTATTTTTTTTGTCATACCTAGGGAGACTCCCAAGTATCTCAAGGCCCCTACCTTGTCTGTGGGTGGTCCTAGTGTACAGCTCTGTTGTCTGCAGATAGTTCACTGGTCTGTTGTTAGATACAGTGATGGTATTGGCCCGCCTTGCATGGTTATCCTTGGGATTATGTATGAGCAAAACCTACCGACTTCCTCCTACCCACTCGTTGTCACTGGCGCCTTTCCCCCATTCCTTCCTCTGCCTCCCTCTCTCTCGAAATTCATCTCCTGCAATAGGCTTGATTTTTCCCCCCCTTTCCCCCTGACTTGTTTTTTCAATAGACGCCTAATGGTGCCGGAGAGAGAGACTTTGTTCAACACCCTCACTAATAATCGAGAGATAATTAACCAGCAGAGGAAACGGCTGACGAACCTGGTGGACAGCCTGCAGCAGCTTCGCTTGTACAAGCAGACCTCTCCGTGGGGCCTCTCTCGTGACTCCTCCACCCGCAGCAGCGTCCAGGGGTGCGTGTCACTTCGCTTCCTTGCTGTCTTACCTTCACACACACACACACACACAGTATAATGCAATGATCTATCCAAAACCACTGGGCAGAAACTATCTGCGCAAGACCGTCCCCATGATGGCCGGAGCTGCGTAAATCCCACAGCTCCATGTATAAGGAAAAAATGTCAGCTTTCTTTAGCTTTCTAGTCCTTATGAATGAAAACCGAGGGGGTTGGGTGGAGAGACCAAATAGGGCTAGTGGAGGAGACCTCTCTCCAACTAATGTCAGTCCTCTCCAGGTCATTGTGGATTAGTATGGGATTTTAAAAAAAACTTTTCTCTGCAACCGTGAGGACTCAAAGGTTGTCAGTCTTGGTTTCTGGTTTGCGTTATAAAACCAGTTTTGCACACGATTGCGCAGATGACTTGAGCCAGCGGAGACCATCGGCTTGATTGGAGCACGGGGGGAGTGTGGGCCAGGTTTCTGCCCCCCGAGCGTTTCTCCTCTGCTGTAATCAAGTCAATTGCACTGTGCGTTGTCCCTTCGCATCCCGAGTTTCTTCTTTGCAAAGACTTGTATCTGACGAAGGGTGCTTTGAATCTCAAAACCTTACACCCTCCAAATCTTCTTGGTCTCTAAGGCGCTACTGGACTGGAATCTAGTTGAAAACTTTTTGTTTTCTTTTTGAGTGAGTGAAGACAAGGTTTCATTCAAAATGGACAGCATTGAATTTTTTCCATGGAAACATGGGAAGTTCCAGGAAGCACTGGGGGGGGGGGGACAACCTCCTGTCAAATATATGTGTATATATTTGTTTTGGAATGAATGAAATATGCTAAAATAGCATAGAGTGCAGTCGTTTGCAGTTCTCTCTATCTTTCACATCGGCTGTGTTTGCAGTTTTGCTTGCATGGGTTCTGCAAAATGCCATAAATATGTCAGCTAATACAATGTTATATGTTAAGTTATAAATAATGTATTTGTTAAAGTAGCAGAACAGGTTTAGATTTGATAGGAAATTAAGTACGTTGTAATCCCCACACATACACACAAATTTTTGATTTTTTTTCAGGGGGGGGGATGCTTTTTCCATGACTCCAACGTTTTCAGAGATGTTTTATCTCTAGTTCAGTGCCTCCTGAACAAAAGTGCGCATAGGCTGAATGTTTATCCCTCCTGTTTTTCCTTCTCCATCATCATCATTCCCTCCCTCTATGGCTCAGTTCAGATGTAAGATCAAACCAGGGATTGCCTCCAAGCGAAGCATCTGTGGGGGGGGGATGCTCAGACTTGCTTATGGGCCTCCTACACCCATCTTCCCCTGAAGCATGACCAGCTTTGCTTTTCTGGGAAGCCACCGGTTGCCCTTTATGACCGAACTAACAAACACGACACACTTTCAGTGTGCAAGCCAGATCTGATCTAGAGCTTGGAGTCCTGGTTTGCAAGGAGAATGCAAACCATAGTTTGTGACTTGGAAATAACAGGAACCCACAGTCTCCTCCCTGTATGTTTGTGGCAGGCAGCACATGACCAGCTTTGCTTTCCTGGGAAGCCACCGTTTGCCCTTTATGACCGAACTAACAAACACGACACACTTTCAGTGTGCAAGCCAGGGCTGATCTAGAGCTTGGAGTCCTGGTTTGCAAGGAGAATGCAAACCATAGTTTGTGGCTTGGAAACAACAGGAACCCACAGTCTCCTCCCTGTACGTTTGTGGCCAGGCAGCACGTGAGCCCGAAGGTCCCCCGAGCTCATCGGTATCAGTCTGAACCATGCCTGTGTTTAATTGTAGATTGTAAGTTCCTTCGGGCAGGGACCTTTTCTCCCTTTTGTAACTCTGTTAAAGCACCATGGTAAGTAATAGCATTATGGAGACAATTTGGGTGAATTGCTTTGAACCGTTAGGTAAGGGTGCTGCATGTTCTGCTTTGTGACGATGACGCTGTTTCTTGGCTTCTTCCCTGTGCTGCTGCTTCAACTCCCAACTGACTCAGCCTTGACAGCGAACTTGAGAGCTTGGGTAACGCCTTGATGAAATTTACCATGGAATCGTGCCCCAAGAGTCAGTCCAAAGCACCCGGTAAGTTAGCTGTTATGGTAGGAGCGGGGTGGAGGGAATGGTGTTTTTCCTTGCTGGGCAAGGGTTAGACCAAGGGTTCCCTGGTAACTAACTGCCAGGGTTACTCACCCTGGTAACTAACTGCCACCACTCAGTACCCCCTGAGAACATAAGAAAATAAAGCTGTGGAGTCTTGTGAGCAACAATTCTACTTTGTGAGCGACTGGCACTAAAGTGAGCGAGCGATATGGCTACTGCATTAAGTTAGTCTGCTCTGGAGCCATCCTTCCTGGACTAAGACAAAAATGTGTGAGCCAGAGTCTAAAAAACTGTGAGCTAGCTCACCCTAACACAGCTTAGAGGGAACTCTAACGCAGAGGTGTCAACCTCATTTCTTACGAGGGCTGGATCTGATATAAATGTCACTTTGTCAGGTCTGAACCACGTGTGCCATAAAATGTCATGCCAGGTACCAGAGATAGAAACTTGATAAAGGACACGGGCAAACCCAATGAACGATATTATTTTTAACTCAAAATACACACGTGCTGAAAACATTAACACTCTTACAGTATCTCCCTGATGTCCTCCCTCCCACTTCCTCCGCCTGTCACGCGTTAGCCCCGGGACATAATGCACAGTCTTTGTCATCTGGCAGTAAAGGAAATGACCAGTTGCTCGTGGGCCAGCTAAGAGCCCTGGACCCATGGTTCCAGCCCATGGGCCGTATGTTTGACACCCCTGCTCTAACACATTCACGAACACACACACACACACCCTCTGATCTGAACTGCAGCCCTGAGGCCTGCTGCATAAAAAGAAAAAGCAACTGGAAGCTCCAGCCACAGAACTCCCAGCATCATGTCTGGTCTGGCCCTCGGGAACGCCACTACTTACGTGTATGGGAGTAGGGAGTGGTAGCTTAGTGGAAACACTGAGTGCCACTAATATGTGGCATCGTAATCCTGAAGCCCTTTTTTCACAAGAGAAGCGTCAGGAGAGGGTGCAACGGGGGTTCCATCAATGCAAAGAATGGGGTGTTTTTACCTGACTCCCACTTTCTGCTGGGGACCTCCAACTCCCTCCTCTTGCTCTTCTTGGGGGCACTGTGACCTCTAGGTGAATCACTTGGGGGGGGGGATATTTTGGAGACGGAGAAATCTCACTCCACTTGCTGAAATCCTTCCAAGCAGAAGCTGATCTGAGCCAAAGGCAATATCAAGCCATGTTTTGGCAAATCAGGAGTCACTTCACAGGCACGTGTGTTCCGCCCCTGCGCAGCTTCTTTGCTCCACCTCTGGTTTCTGCTAACCCCTGACAACCCAGCGAAGCAGACGACATTTACTGCTGACTTGCAAACCGTTATTTACAAATCCACCACTAATCGTGGCTTGGAGGATCACACGATCACTGTTTGCCATTTCATTGTCAATGAAAACTGGGAGGTGAGGGAGAGAGCCTGCCTGAGAGGAAAGGAAGGATTCTGGGGGGAAGAGAAATCACTTGCATTTGGCAGTGGACATGGAGTCTGAGCTGAGCCAGTGAGATTCAGCAGGTAGCTGGGTCTGGGAAACACAAAGTCACACTTGCAGCTCCCTTGCTGGCTCCTGACCTTTGTTTCCTGCGAAATTACTCCCAGTGGCCAGTCCATGGTTTGCCACCTCCATATCTTTAAGAACGTGGGATTGCTGGAGTTGAATCACAGAAGAGTTTTCTTGGTGCCGCAGAGGCGTAATGCTGAACAAATCGGTGGCTCCTCTTTACCTATCCTTTTCCCTCCTCTTTTCCAGCAAAACTGTCCCCCGTGAAGCAGGCACAGCTACGGAATTTCCTATCCAAACGGAAGATGCCGCCCATCAGGTCGACAGCCCCAGGTATACCGCAATCCATCTACTAATTTTTAAGCACTTGGCAAAGGCTTGTTTGTTTACAAGAGGCCCTGGCCTATATTATAGCAGTTCCCCCAACCACAGTTCAGTCCTGAGTGCCCTGTTGCTTTCTGCTCTCATTTATGATATCCCAGTGAAAGGTGGAGAGCCCTTCACTGTAGGTTGGGACCTCCGGCAGCCAAATTATGCTGAAGATGCTGTCAGGAGCACCTAAGTCCCCTTTGAAGATGGGGACTTGGGAAGCTTCTAAAGTCAAACTGGTGCTTTTGCGCCTTAAGCTCAGTGAAGGAGCTTCCAGCTGCCACGAATATGGTACGCTTCGTGTCTTGAAAATCTGGTTGCCCTCCATCCTCGACGATATTTCAAATCAACCCTCACTCCTTTGAGAGATCAGCATCTGCTGTGATGAGAAAGTGATCATACAGGATCACCAAGAGGTGTTGACGAGAGCAGCAGAGAATCACTGCCTTCGTTCAGTGCCCTGCAAAAAGCAGAACACCACAAGAGCGGCCCTGCGGGATGAGGACACCCAGTCCAGCCGTTTCCAGGTGTGACTAGCCAGACGCCTTTGGGAAACCTACAAGCGGGACCTGACGGCAACAACCCTGCACGACTTGCTTGTTTCCAGCATCTGGTATTGAGAGGTAGACTGTCTCCAGACGTGGAGTGGCTGTGACTTAATAGCTGAATATCATAGCGTGACTTTGTCTGACCTCTTCGAAAGCCTTCCGGGTTATCCCTACAAGCCGCATGCACGAAATGCAAAAGTCAGTTCTGAACTGAGTGAAGACGTTCATTCTCTGGTCTCAGATTCCAGCAGGGGAGCCATGTCGGTCCGCAGCGGCAAAACCCAAAAGGAGACTTGTGACATCAGGAAGACGAACAGATTTTTAATTTGTATTTATTTTATTTGAAACGTTTCTGCCCAAATACGGTTCCCAAGGCAGTAGAAGCTTTTACATGGATCAGAGCCAACTTTGTCAGATGCTTCATTGTCTGGTCTGTCCTGATCCTGCAGCCATCCAGTTTCATTGGGTAACACCCAAGTTCTAGTGCGGAGGAGGCATTAATTTTAAATAAAGCCCTCTCCCTCCACTATTGCCACACTGTTTGCTGTTTTATAAAACTCTTTTGTAACCCCCTTCACCTTAATCTATTTTCCCTAGTCTAAAAAGCCCCAAACACCATCAGCCTTTCCTGGTATCCTGCATAGTCATTTCCTTCCTCCGCCCTTTTTTCTTTGGGTGTCACTTGTTTTCAGCAGTGATACTCACTTGGTGGCTCAGTGACATGAAGACATTGTATGCCAAATATTGGAAGACTCAAGAAACACCAACCGAACAGGAGTATATCAATAAACGTTTGGAAGCAGCGGAAATAGATAAGTTAACTATGGAAATGAGAGGTACGAAGAAATGGACATTTCAAAAAATGGACGTTTCCAAAAACTTGGAAGAGATTATATGTCTGGTATAATGTGAATGGAGTTAAAGATTAAGCTGACATGGCAAAAATATTATTTGAGTATGTAGTAATATAATATAACAAGAAAGGGGACCTGCAAAATTCGCGAGGGGGGGGGCAGAGCAGAGCAGGCGGAGGAGGAAGCTGCAGGAACAGGTA